ATACGAAAAATTCTGTTGTTTTCTCACTCGGAAGGCGGTCTAGTTAAGGTTCATCCTATGTCTCTCCGACTCGCCTGGCAATACAACATTTAGATGAATTCGCTGACTATACGAGTATGTGGAAACAAACTCTAATTAAAAATTTTTGTTACCCTAATGTGCATTATATACATACATAGACGGGCATTATTATTTGATTGCATGATTTCTGAGTCTGTTCCAGCTGTGACTTTAAACTTGTAACTGGTGTATAGTACACATACGTACATAGTATTTCCTCTTGTAAACCTAACTGTATTTTGCCCTTTGGTGCATTTTTTTTCCGGTTTTCCTCACACAATGTGAGCACCAATAAGAGCATCAGAATGATTGCCCATTATTGCCAAAAAGCAATTAAGAAAATACACGTTGTCATTGTGTGACTCTGATGTCTGGCAGCTACAAAATATTTCTGTCTGTCCGAGTGTATGTATATATGTATGTATATTTACTATTTGTGAGCTAAATATTGAAAGCGTTTGGTTTAAATTTGGTCCAATACGTGGAATGAAGCTAGTAAGAGCACAAAGGACACAGGCATATACGTGTATATCTATGTACATATATGTATATGTCTGAGATGCACATATGTACATGTGTAATTTTCGTATGAAAGAAATTCGAATACATGAAATAGCGTGTCACTTTCATGTGACATATTGACACGCTCAGACCAACGTGCCAATACAGTGCCGTACCGTTGTTGCAAACACATGTACTCCTATTGGATGTAGTGGTATTGAATGTCATTTTAAAATGGTTGTTCAATTTTGTGGCAAGACAAGTGGTAGATCGTTTTGAAGTATTGAGATAGCATTCCCTGATTGTTTGTATGTACAAACATACATATATATTTTTCAAGTCAACCGAAGTGATATTACTTCGAATGAGAAGAGATCCAAAGTAAGATAATTTACTGTTTGTTTTTTTCTTTTTTTTTAACTTCTTCACTTTATGTATGTGTAGATTTTTGTAATATTAAAATAGTATATTTTTGATATGAAACAAAGGTTTCTCATAAAAATCCATCGGCCGTTCGGGGGCGGCTTAGTATGAACTGTACATCCCTCCACTTGTTGAAAAGACACCAACACGCAAAAACCACAAATTTGAGGAGGAGTTCGACCAAAAATCCCTTCAGCAGTTACAAGTGTCAATTATATATATGCATACTTGTATATACATGTATATACGTGTATTTATTTATAAGGGACAAGTAAATATTCTGGACTAAAGAAGAGAAAATGTCTATGGAGTTTTTCGGGGGTTGGTCAGAAACGTTCCTTTTGCATATGTTTCAAGCAGTTGACGGCTTCCGGTCTTGGACCAAGTATCCCTTGGGCAGCCAACAGACATTCGTTTGAAGACGGCAAAGGTGAGAAGGCTTCTACCCTGCAGTTATGCGTTGGATTTTGAATACTCCGCATGAAAAATAAGCTCCAATGAAAGTTCGATGACGACTTCCGCAAACGAATTAAGGAAGGGGACAAGGACTTAAGAATATGGGTTCTTTGTGAAATATACTACAGTGCCCATATAAATATACGCAAATTTGGTATAAAATTTGTTTGATTTTTGATAAATAAATAAAAAAAATTGTGTTCAGCGACGAAGCTCATTTTTGGTTTAATGGGTGCGTAAATGACTGTGCGAAGATATCAAACTTTTTTTTTTGCCAAAAATTCAAGAGCTTGACTTACCTGACATTTGGTTTCAACAAGATGGTGCCACATGCCACACAGCATGCGTGGCAATGGACTTACTGGGAGGCAAGTTCGTTGAACATTTTATTTGACGTTTATGACGAATTAATTGGCCATCCTGATTGTGCGATTTAACGCACTTAGACTATTTTTTGTGGGGCCCTGTTAAATCTAATGTCTATGCAGACAAGCCCGCTTCAATTGACGAATTGGAGGACAACATTGAAACATTTATTCGTTTTATTCGTAAGATACCGGCCGAAATGTTGGAATGAGTATGCCGGAATTGGACTGAGCGGACAAAGCGGATTTGAGTCGCAGTCACGGTCAACATTTGCATGAAATAATCTTCAAATATTGAGTTATATGGACCGTACTATCGATTCAATTAAATATTTTAAGTATTTTTTTCTTCTTTTTTTTTAAACTTTCCTTAAAAATTCACCCTCTATTGTACTTGAATTTAAATATAATATATCTCGAAAAGTTGTCTACTGATGGAATTTTCTCAGATTGCTTCTAGGGCTTCTGGAAAGAATTATCACGCCAATTTTTTTGGGAAGTTTGACAAAATCCTATTTGTGGTTCGATTTGCCTGAACTGCTAACTACGGGATGTGGATCCATTTGTTTAAAAAAGATATTTAAAAGGACGAATATGGTTTGGAAGATGATGGGAATCATTTAAAAATTTTAGGCATGTTGCTCGCACAACTATCCGTCTTTACCGAATTCACCTTTTTTGCGTCTTAGGAACTATAGGGAGTGCGCAAGTTACTGAACGACAGACTTTTGCCCACAGAGGAAGCTTAACTTTGGCCCCTCCATCCTCAACGTGTAACTATTGGGTGCGGTGGAGCCATTGGACTTAGATTCCCGAAAATGTATGAGTCGAAAAACGATTAATGACTTTTTCTGGCCGGAATTGAATGGTATGTATCAAGTAACGAAACCATCGATATGTGAAAGCAAGCTTTTTTTGGGAATATCTCATAGATCATGAGGTGTTTAATAATATCAGTCGAATTTTTAATATTTTCTTGTGGTCGAAATTCTATCTTTACACTTACGATTTTTAATTTTCATGTACATAAAATGGTATATTTATTTTGGGCAAAAGTATATAAGTACCAGTTCGCCTTGCAACCGCCGAAGCGATTTTCGGCCTGGCTCCTACGCTAATCTTTGGCTTGCGTCTTGAAATTTTCAAACAAATGGAGGGACCTACAATTTATACTAAGCCNCTAAGCCACCCGTTACATTTTCATGAGAAGCTTTTTATTTCATGTCAGAAATACACTCGGAGAATTTCATATTTCCGAGGTAAGAACCACAATTAGAAAATACAGTTTTCTATAATTTTGGAACCAAGACTCGAAGCTTAGCCTTAAGAATGGCAGTATGCAGTGCTAGCCACCCGACTCTCGCGGCAAAAGTATAAGAGATGAACTCTTTAAAATTTATAACGATCGGGTCAGAAAGACGAGTTGAGTTGATTTGGTCACGTCCGTCTGTTCATCCGTCTGTTTGTACTTAAAACGGTCCCTCAGTTTTTGTGGTATTTCAAGGAAACTTAGTACACAGATGCAATGGTGCATTCAAACGATCATTTGTCGGAACAGAAAAGATCGAATCAATAATAAAATATGTATATATGCGACCGAACTTTCATTTCTAAAACTTCGGTTCATAAATGTGTCAAAAAGCAACAGTAAAAATGGCTTTAGGAGGAGAATATGATGTATATAATCGTCCAACCACTATCAAGCAATTGGTAAAGTTTCAAAGAATTTCAAAGAGACTCGAATGTGTCTATTCCTCGACGTTCTTAAAACCAGAGGCCAGCTGACCATTCACAATGCCTCACCTCAAAGGGATCGACGTTTGCATAAATTCAAGAGGCGACCAATTGAATGACGTAATGTTTCACATACAGGGCTCAAACTTTATAATGAAAATGGAATTTCACGAAAACAATTATTTTAAGGTCTCATTACCTTCGCTGGTTATAAAAATTGATTAATTTTCTACAAAAAACTCGTTGGAATTTGTCTGTTAAATATCTATGTGCAAATGTAGTACTTTTTATTATTCATTAATCATTTTTGACACATTCTCTGGTACCACTATAATATTGCTACTATATAAAGCAGTCAGACAGCACAAATCTTCCATTTCGTCTTCGCAAGTAGCAGAATACAATAGTCTCAAATATTTGACGACAAAATGAAAATTATTGTAATTTTCCTTGTATTGGCAACGGTTTCTGCTACCAAATCGAGGGAGTCTAGTAAGTAAATTGCGATCTCACAATAAATAATTTCTGTATACCTGTACATATGTATATATTGTTCGGCTAAAATCGCGTAAGCAGAAAGATATTTGAAAGTAAAAAAAAACTTGTGTATATTTTTACGAATTATTTTAAAATGAAAAAAAAAAATTAAAATTATTTCTACTATTCACATTCATACAATTTAAATAGGTTCAGAGAAAACCACATCAGCAACTTCGGAGGGAACTACCAAGAGCAGCGCTAAGAATTTAGATAATAGTGAGTCGTATACGGTAAAATTGAATTGTGTCATGCAAATTAATCAATCAAAAATCCATTTTTATCATTCTACCACACAAATCTCCCTCTCTCTCTCTCTCTCTTTATTCGCTGAACTGCACATACATCTCGGGGCACCTGTTTTCGGCACTACTACTGTACTCTCCTTTCTGGTGGGGTGTGCCTAGAATATTGTGGTTACTCTCCATAGAGAAGGTAGACTAATATGCAATTAAGATGAAATCATATATATATATATATATATAATTGGCTCTTTGCAACCGCTGAGCGATTTTCGGCCGAGCTCCTTCTCCAATTTGTGGTTTTGCGTCTTGATGTTTTTCCAACAAATGGAGGAACCTACAATTTATACCAAGCCGACTCCGAACGGCTGTTGGTTTATTTATAAGAAACTTTCTTCATGTCACAAGTAAACTCGGAGGGGTTGACATACCTTGTCGAGGGTCGACCGCAGTAAGAAGAATTAACTTAATTTTTTTATTTCATCTCGGTCGAAGATGAAATCACACCAGTTGGTTATTTCTACAGCAGTCCAGCGGTAACGGTACAAACCATAGTTTCCACTAGCGCTTGTTTTTGTTACATATAATGGCACTTCGTTCGAATTCCGATCTCTGCTCTGTTATGTTGAAGTGTGCAAAACTTCGTTTGTTGCCACGATAACCGAGTGGTTAGAGATTAATGCTGTAGCGCGTTAAGCTCTCGGTTCGAGTCTCACTAGAGATAAATTATTATTTTTTTTTTAAATTATTTTTTATTGTTTTTTCACCATCCAGTCATTAATCTATTGTTTTTGTTTTTAGTACTCCACGTCTGAGTTTCATTCTGATAAACTAGACAGATTTCGTTGCTGTCGGTCTACAAAAGATAGCAGAGTGGTGAGGGGTTAACGCTGTGGTGCGTGAAGTTCGCGGTTCGATTCTCGCCGCAAACAAACTCATTTATATTTTTTAATTTTTTTTTTTTTTTTTTTGGTGAAGAAAGAAATACAGCTTACCTAAATGAACTGGTATATAACTAGTTCAAAGCTTAGGCAGAATCGCACGATTGTCAGCTCGTAGGGCATCGTTGTGCTGAAAATCTTAAATGCTGACTTAAGAAATAAATAGAAGATGAACTGATTGTTGCAAAACCGCATACCAAATGGATTCTAGTTAACAACTAGTATTTTTTCCTCGAGGGAAAGCTTTAATACTCGTTTGTAAAAACGTTCAATATATGTAATTGCGGTGTATTAATGGTTCCGGTGCACTAAAGGTAGTCTCTAATGCCTACGCAACATGGCAGCAGGCTAAGCCGAGTGATTGGTAGCATATGTTGCAATGCGGAGGGTTCGAATCCTTGCCAGCTTAAAAATTAAATAGATAAATTCAAAAATATTAATTTTTACCTCGATAGATAATTTCACCCTTCTGAGTATCTTTGTGTCAAGAAATGAATCTCTCCATAAAAGTCAATCAGCCAAGTCAAAATACACACCATAAAATGGAAAAGATGGTCGGCCGAAAGAAATTAATATATATTTTACATAAATATATTACATTGGTGTATATCTGCTCTAGCTTCAGCCTTCTCCATTGAAAGTATCTTATGCCAAGCTGAAATACACTCGGAGAATTTCATATTTCCGAGGTAAGAACCACAATTAGAAAATACAGTTTTCTATAATTTTGGAACCAAGACTCGAAGCTTAGC